CATCCTATCCTCAACACTGCAATGATGAGGAAAACGGTATAATGCTTGAAGCATTTACCGTCTTGCGCGTCGACGTGGCCGCGTGTTTTGTGGAGGATCGCATTGCCGCAGATCAAAACCTCGATTGACTGTGTCTGGCCATCGTTCGCGCATTGCCCTCTCGAACTCATCTGGCAATCTCTGTCTGAACACGATGAACCTACACAGTCGAGAAAAAGCGACATATCCATGGTAACGATTCTGCTTTGTTTCGAGATTTTCACGACCAATAAGCAGATTCATGCACTATTGCAGATGCTCCTCCAGGCCAGCAAAAGTCACAGCCTCTTCCAAAAGCGCTGCGGGCCCCGGCCACCGACTCCTAATCTCGGCGACTGTCAGTTCCTCGTCGCGGAAAGGATCAATATCTGTCCCATTTCCAAATACGACTGCGTCGGCCCGCACGCCAGCCATGCGTCGTGGGCGGTCCATGTCTGGGAAAGGGTGAATATTGTTCTGTCAATTATGTGTTATTTTTTAGAAATCTACAAAACAGAACATCACGGGCACCGTTACCTTAGTACTGTACCTCCACATAATTCTAAAAAAAAAAAATTAAAACACAAAGCAGCTGAGAAAAAAAACCGAAAACATTTAAAAAACACATGGGAGATGACGATTGTATATGCATACACAAAATGTACAATCATTGAAACCATGAGTTTCTCTCTCTCCAACAAGGAAGAAACATAACAAAGAAAACGAATGGTACTCATCGCCGGATCTCACAGCAAGGATAGAACATGGCATAGAAATCCTCGCCATTGGACACAAAATAGGGCGGTGATACGACCAGGCGCCAGACGCCGTCCCGAGCGACCGTCCCGTAGTGTGTGTATAGTATGCGATGCACCAGGGGGTAGACGATATCATACATCAAATCACCGTCGACCGGTTTGAGAACAAAGGTACTGAAGTACGTAGTCGGCTTAGACATTAGCACACGAACGTGTTCAATGGCGTGGTCACAAATATAAGTCTCGGTAGTGAGTCTGACGACTCGGTTCTCCTCGACGCTGACAACGAACTGATGATCCACCATCTTGTCTCTATTGCGGTACCCCACTGCCTCGCTGACAGGATCTGTTACGGGAGTCATTGATTCGTAATAGTATACGGTGTCGCCGCCGGCCAGTTTCGTGGTGTGCTAACATCGGAAAATCATTGGCGCGCAAGGCATCGTCGCTTCTTTCGTATGGCGTATAAAAACTGTTGCAATTCACGGAAAGCGACACCGTAAGTTATGAACCCAACGATCGAACAATGAATAACGCAAACATGATGTTCTACATGTACCGTACGGGGAAGGGGGAACGCCCTTTATACATATATATGGGAGAAACGGGTAGTCGCAGTCCCGAACACAGTTGAATGTTGAAAATCCTCAACCCACCTGTTTCGGATTATGCATGAAACGAGCGGGACGATGGTTTGTTGACACTTTCGCACTGTTGTCCACAACCGTCCTTTGGCCACACACTGCGCACATCTCCGTGGAGAAAACTACGGCACTGCAGCGGGGGGTCGAGTTTGGAGAAAAACCATGGCTTGCTAACCTTTCCACATGCTCGTCCGCAACCACTGACACGATGCGTCTTAGCAAATGACCAAGCATGTCGACGTCGGGGGGTTCGCAGGCGTCGGGAACGACATCCGAAAGTTTTTTTGCATGCATGACAACCTCATCAAGGCAATCATGGGCGTCGTACCCTAGCCCCGCCACGACCCTCAAAGCGAGGGTGTCATCGATGAACGCGTAGTACACACGTGTTTTCGTGGCGACAACCCCTTCCCAGTATTCAAAGTCTCTTTCGTTCTCAGTATTGCGCTCGCACATTGTCTCTCTCACGACGATTTCCTTAAAGTTTGCATCCACAACCTCTTTCACAACAACAACTACGTCGCCCATGTTGTGTCGCAGGGTCGAATAAGTGAACCTGACAATTATGAACAGTCCCAATGGCTGGGCGACAACACTGGAAAGATGACAGCAACACAATGCGTACGATAAGCGACGGACACAATGAGTCGAGTCTCGCGGCTGCAAATAATAATAATAATAATAAAGAACAGTGGTACGTTGGTTGGGTAGTTGGGTGGTTGGGTGGTTGGGTTAGGTGGTTGGTTGGGTGGTTGAGCGGACGGATGGGTGGTTGTGTGGCTGGTTGCTTGGTTGGTTGGGTGGTTAGGTGGACGGTTTGGTGGTTAGGTGGGTTGGTTGGTTGGCTGGTTGGGTGGTTAGGTGGGTGGTTGGGTGGTTGGGTGGTTGGGTGGGTGGTTGGGTGGCTGGGTGGTTGGGTGGTTGGGTGGTTGGGTGGGTGGGTGGGTGGTTGTGTGGTTAGGTGGGTGGTTGGGTGGGTCGGTTGGTTGGTTGGGCGGTTGGATGGGCGGGCTCCAAAACATGGGGTGGTTGAGTGGTTGGTTGGGGCTGGCGGTTGGTTCGGTGGCTGGCGTGGATGGTTGGGTGGTTGTGGTGGTTGGTTGGGTGGTTGGGAGGGTCGTACATTTGGGTATTATGGTTGGGTGAGTGAGTTTGTGGATTGGTTGATTGGGTGGTGGGTGGGTGGGTGGTTGGGTGGTGGGCTGCCGGGTTGGTGGGTGGGTGGTTATGTGGGTGGTTAGGTGCAGGGTTGTCACCCGGGGACCCCCCGCCCGATCCCCGGCACCCCCGCGGGACCCCGGCCCCGACACCCAGCACCCCGGCCCCGCCCCCGGGACCCCCGCCGACCCTGGCCCCGGACCCCCGGTCCCCATACCCTCCCGGCCCCGGC